TATATATATTTGATAATTAGATAGAGTCCTAATATTTAACAAGAGATAAGCCATATCCATGATTTTGAAGCCATCGACCCACGATCTAGTTGAATCCTAGTTGTACTTGGAAGCTTTGATTTGAAGAATGGAACCACCCAAAATGAACACATATCCAGAAATCGACCTCCAATTATCGATATCTTTGGCATAATCTGAATTTACAAAACCAAAGATACCATCATCATTCTTGCCAAATTGTAAATACAAAGATGACATTCATCGAAGAAAATGAATAATCCATTGGAGATCCTTCAAATGTTCTTTGCCCAGATTCTCCATATATCTACTAACCACACTGCCTGCATAAGCCAGATGAGGACGTGGGTAAATCATCGCATACATTAACGAACCAACATGATCACTCGAATATGGTACATGTGCCATGTATGACATATCAGTCTCTAAAGTAGGACTTTGAAAGGATGATAGCTTAAAGTGAGCTGCTAGGGGTGTGGTGACCGGTTTTGCATCATGCATATTGAACTGGTGTAGGACTTTCTCGATATAGCTCTTTTGAGAAAGATACAAGGTCCTCGTACTTCTATCACGTACAATTTCCATCCATAAGATTTTCTTGGCAGCCCTTAAATCCTTCATATCATATTCAACATTTAATTGGTACGTCTTTTATAACTTAAACATCCTTCATATCGTATACGAGTAAGTAGACCATTGACCCATCATCACACTTCTTGTAATAAACGCAACTATCACATGTGCACCTTTTTTTACTACAATTTATGAAATTTAGCATCGAAATATTAAATAGTACATTTAAATAAATAAAATCTTGAAAACTTGAAATTATTTGAAATAACTTGAAAATTTTGCAAATATATGGAAAAACTTGTATCATATAATCTATAAAAACTCAAAAACCTATTTTTTTTTTTTGAAAAAATTGTTATATGCATAACCGGTTTCAATCATACGATCCCAGACCATGCCTTGAAATTCCATTGATCTTGTCATTCCGAACCGACGGACCATAAACGGTCCCTACCAATCCAAATCAATATCGTCCTAGGCTGGCCCTCGGTCCTACGTTGGGCTAGTCCCATTTTGTCCTAGATCTTTCGACGACTCCTAATCTATCATTACTTTATTGAAAAAAGAACGATAACTTGAATTAAATAAATGTATCTATATTGTAACTTTTCATGAGTAAAACTTAAAAAACGGTAAGTATAAATTATTAATACATATAAGATATTTGAAGTTGTAAATTATTTCTATATTTGTCATTTTTTTAAGTGTTAAAGAAAACTTATACTACTCTTTCAAAATATAAATTCAATCAACTAAATAAACAAAAAATATAAAAAATAAATTTAAGACAATTCAATTTTTAGTTTAATTTACATTATGTTATATCTCACATATATACTTCTGGTATTACATAAAGTAATCATATATTAAGAGTTGGATTAATGAGATATGAATGGGATATCTGAGTTTGTAGAAAAGTCATTAATTTGCATCATTTCACTCCATATGCAGGTTTTCTACCACTTTGCTGGGCTAGTTTTCTTGATCTTAGATGTCTCCATATTTGCTTTAATGTCTACTAATTAAAACAAACTAATGACATCAAATAGTTAAAAGGTAATTATGCATTTTTATCAGATAAAATATAGGTCAGAACAATGAAGATATTAACAAAGTCAACCATTGTTTCGATCATTATGCTAAATATGTACAGTTTTTACTAATTAATTTCCATGTAAATTGTATGTTGTTGAAATCGTGATATATGTTCATCAAGTTCATAGAAGATGCAAAACATGATCGATCGAATAAACGTTTTTGGATCGCTTTCTAGGGTATAAGCTATAACTAATTAGAAGGACCAAACAATTGTGTTTCTACTGTTTTTTAAGACTAAAATTTATAAAAGCAAATAATTTGTATCATATGTGAAAGTGTATATTCAAGTTAATATAATATTTTTTGACGTCCTAACAAATTTTATATTATACTCTTGAACCATATTGTTCTGTTAGCTTTGATAACCAACGGATAAATTTTTCTGGTGTGTTGGTGATCCATCGGAAATTCAGAAGACTTTTATATTAAAAAAAAGCATTGAAACCCCTACCTCGATTGCTTTGTGTAGTAGACGCCACCACCAGCTAGCGTTGTTGCCCGCCTCCAGCATTGCCACCACTATCGCCTACCTCCTGCACCGCCACCAGCACCACGTGATTTCGTATGTTACTTTTTCCCCATTATAAAGTGAATTTTGTTTGTATAATCCATATGTGTTTTTCTTTGTTGAATCAATTTTATGCAATAATATGAAGATGTTTTATTCAAATTCATGAGCTAATATGTGTTTTCCTTTGTTAAATCAATCTGATGAAATAATATGGATTTGTGATTTTTGTTAGTGTAGATTTATGTCTATGTATTATAAAAATCAATATGTGAAAATTAGATCTAAGTTGTGTTTATTTCAAATAAAAGTGATCCAAATACATACTTATTGAGAATTCATAAAATGAAGACATGTATATGTGGTGCACATACTAATTGAAATAGTTAAACCATTACACTTAGGGTTTTTAAGTTATCAAAACCTTCTCCAACTTCATTTAAACATACGATTTAACTTAGAAATAGGGTTTTAAAGTCATTCAAAACATTTTCTTTGATTTAAACATGTGGTTTGGGTTCTAAATAGTCAAATACTTGCTTGGAGGGTTTAAAAGTTCTCTACACCACGTATACTTTGATTATGTCGATTAAGTACTTTCTTTGGTTGTAGTTAGTAATTATGTCAACATCCACATATATGAGGGGTTTCTTAGCAAGGACTATGTCGTTGCGATAGACTCTTTTTTAGACTTTGCGTATTCCAATGACAGGTTTTTTGAAAGGAAAATTACGCATAATGGGACAATGTTTCGTATCAGATCGATACCCTTGTTCCAAGTGTCGAAAATTGAACCATAAAGAAATGGATAATATGAGACTGCACATGACGAAATATGGTTTCATGTCTGATTTTACAATTTAGTGGGCACATGGTGAAATCTATAGTCATGCATCTTAATACACATGTCAATCTTCTAATCCGATAGAAGATCGTAACGAAGGGTATGTTGGAATAGTTAACAAACGAATTATACATGATGGTACGACATGGGAAGAACATACCCCTAATTATTTTGCTAAAGAATTTTTATGACATGTTACAAGCTGCTAACAAACCCTATGTGATAGGTGTCCAAATTACTCGAAATTAGGATCTACAATAATATTGTTGAATTGGAAGACGAAATGTAATATATCGGAGGCGACTTATAATCAAGTTGCTCCTATAGTTAGATGCCACCTCAGGGTGAAAAAAGTACCTCATAACTTATATGAGACAAAGAAGAGTTTGAAAAGACTCGACGTTTGCAAAAACCACTGCATACTACTTTATAAGCATGACTCTAAGGTGGCGTTTGTTTTTTAAGAGTTGCAGAAGTCTGAAGTCTTATTTCACTTCTGAGTAATAAGAGGTGATGCGGAAGTCTGAAATCTGAAATCTGAATCAATAAGACTGTTTATTTTTGTAAACTGACAAACGTCTGAAGTCTGAAATCTAAATCAATAATTTGTTTTTGTAAAATCAGGTTCAAACATTTTGCAAATTTCTCTTGATTTTCATAAAATATCCATTGCCGAAATTCAACTGAACAATTGCTTAACAAATGAAACACAGTAAGAACCTTTTGAATACCTTTCAGACTTTCGATGCTATCGGGGATGCTGCCGATTAGTTTGTTTGTGGAAAGATCGATACTTTTGATAGAAGATAAATCGTCGATAGAAGTTCTTGTTTCACATTAATCTTCTAAGCTAACTTATACGTATAGAAATTATATATATTTTTTTGTAACTGATGCCTCTTAAAGGTGCATTCAATGAAGCTAAAAAGATTATTCACATCATCACCACAATCTCTGTAGATTTTAATAATGACTCAAAAAACAGAAATAACGAAGTTAAAGAAGACCGTAAAATGATGTGAGACAAGTAATAAGTGAATAAGAAGTGTAAAATATTACAGATCGAATAGCATTGTTGGATTATCGTATGTTTATTAGAGTAATCAAATTAAAAGAGAACTTATAATTCAACTAAGGAATACTTTTGGCATTTATTTCAGGGGTGTATATATATATGTGTGTATATATTTCGTATCAATTCCAAAGATATGTATGGAGTTCAAAGAGGCCATGTCGATTGAAACTGTGGAAGCTCTCCATACCCTTCTCCACCCATCCTGTCCATCACTTGTGCTTCATACCCATTTGCTCCCTGCAAATAAATTTATTTCCACATTTAGTCACCTATGAATGATTTTTTCAACCAATGCATTTAATGAAAAATAACATATAGCCAATTGATATTTCATATTACTTCCATCCATCCATATATATATATATATATATATATATATATATATATTAGGTCATGTTGGATTCACTCATGTTGCTGGAGTTTTGATACTCTAAAATCTGGAGTTTCCTAAGATCCGAGAGTCCCGTTTAAGGATTGCTTGATGAGTTACGAGGGACTCGATATCTAATAGTGCGTTAACATGATGTTTTGCGATCTTGGTTTACTTGATTACCGGCTGAGATTGCCTGAGCCTTACTGGAAATACTAGATTTTAACCTCGTGTTGTGCTATTGTAATTGTTTAAATTTTGAAGGCCTTAGAAGCAAGCTATATAATACTGGTGATTACGTACATTGATATAATTGGAAGCCAATACAATGGTTAAGAAAGCTTTCTAACAGTGATAGAAGGAGCAACTCAAATGACCATTATGTTTCTGATCATTATAAAGTGAAAGAAACTCAAACATGCGACTTCGGAGTAATCAACCATGTTGTCAGTTTAAGATCACAATCAAGATGTTAATCTTCACTTTTACTTTAATTCCTAGAACCAAAATTACGTTATACCTTCATGGTGTCCAAGGCATCCATTTCAGCAGAGTTGAAGTCGTAGAACATGCTTGCTGCTGAAAGCTTCATAGACAGAAACTAGGAAGCAGAAAATTAAGACAATTAAAATATTTGCATCATGATCCCCACAAATCTCAGCCACTAATTTTGTAATTTTTCACACAAACTTACTTCGATTTGATTCTGCAAAGATCGGATATAATTGATTGTTACGTCCAACATTACGGACATTCCCATTGTCTGCAAGTCCTCAACAAAAGGATTACAAATTAAGTTTTTAAGGAACTGAAAAAGCATAATTAGATCATATTGAAATATTTTGTAATAAATGTTAATGATTCGAAACACGATCAAAAGATGAAGGGGAAAATGGATCAGTTCATACCTTATAACATCCAGGGACTAGTTCTTGCAAGGATCGTAGCTTTTCATTTATTTTCTCCCTTCTCAACTAATCATGAACAGGAAAAATCAAACAAGATCATCAATTGAGCAGTATTACGTCCAAAATTTTGGTGTTAGGGTTTCTAACAAAAAGCGCATTTATTTACAATATATAAAAGTGATAAATCAATTGAAGGAACCATATTAAACCTAGAACCAGTTCTTGATTAATTTCGTTTCCTTGAGAAATTCAAGCACAGACTTTCTTGAATTAATTTAAACTAGAAATCTAATCAAAGGAAACAAACCCTTTCAGCCAAACTGTGACTATCAGTAGCTTCACCCCTCCTTGCTCTCACATGAACAACTTCTCGTGGTTTCTCCCCTAAAGCTTCATTGCTTTTCTTTCTCCTTTTACCACCATAGCCCTGAAACATATGAATTAGTCAAAACAAAAAAGTACAAATAGATCAACCAAAGCTAATAATATATTGATCTAACAGATTAAGGAACAAAATGAAGTATACATAATTTCTGTTAGCCTTGTTCTCTCCAGTAACTTCAGAGCTAAAGATGGGGGGATTCCCCAAGCTTTCATCCCCCGATATCCTCTTGGCCATATTGTCTGTATTTGAAGGGAGATGGGTCATTGGAGCATAGAAAGAACCATCTTGATGATCACCACTGAAATTAAAGCTCTGAAGATTACCATCTGATAAAGGCATGAATGGAAGACTATGATCATGCCTTCGATGATGATGATGATGATCTGAGAAATTGTCGCCAGACAAAGGCGTAAACCCATGAAGACTAACATTAGATGAATTGAAATTCCCAAGTGCAGGATTGGCATTGCTGTCAAAAAGTTCCATGTTTGAGTTGATTCCTAGGGTAAAGTGGTCATCCATGAGATGGTAGAGTGTTTTGTTTCTTAAAACAAACCTTCAAAGATATTCCAAAAAGCACTCTAATAGGACAAGGAAGAAAAGCACATGAGCTTCTGAGTGGTTGGTTCTGACACTATAATTAGGTAATCCTACATTCAAGTTTGTCAATCTGAACTAGTAATAGGGTTTCTCATTAGGCATTTTAGTTCTTCTTTTCCATTTACCATAGCATTACACTTTTTTCCTAACCGTTTTTTATCTGTAATCTTTTATTTGACTAGTTTGTAAGATTCTTGTAAAGTACCCCCTTCTACATAGGGCAGTAAATGAACTGATCGAACGAACATGAATGGGGTCGTTCATTTGCCTGTTTAACTTTAATCAAACAACCGAACAAAATTTTGTATTCGTGTTTGTTCAGTTAATAAAACGAGCTTTGTTCATGTTTGTTCGTTAAGATGCTAAATGAACATAAATAAACATAAGTGAAAACAAATGAATAAAAAATCACCATTACTGTTGTTAAACTTCTAATTTTCTGACCATAGAGATTTTGGTTTTCTAGGCAAAACCTTTAACTTTAACTGACATGAATGAACAAGATTAAGTTGATGAATTTTACAAACATAAGCGAACGTAATCAAGGAAATAAAAAAAAATACTCAATAACGAATTACATAAACGAATGTTCACAAAGGTAATTGAACGAACAAGGTCATTGTTCTTTTTCGTTCATGTACCTAAACGAACAAGAAATCTTGTTCATGTGTGTTCGTTAGTTTATTAAACAAACCAACATAAACAAACTTAACGCCGAATGGTTCACAAACGATGCACCAATGTTTGGTTCATTTACAACGCTTCCTCAACATATACCAAACAAACTTGGTCCGTAAGAAACTGCTAGCACGTAGAGGAATCCAGCATAAAATCTTATGCAACATTGGTTGTAAGGCCTAGAGGAACTGACTATTACGCTTGGTAGTTGAGGTTTCGTATTCCTAATCATGGTAATATTCAACACTGTAGCTCAACAGCTTGAATATGATTTTTTGGATCTTTATGAAAAACTACAGTTTGTAAAGGTACACATTGATATTGATAGATATAGTGAATGGGACCATTGAATGGCTTTTGGTCAAGTATGGGGAATTTGGAGATGCATTACCATTGATAGTCTTTTGGCTTGAGTATCTTGGAATGGGAAGACACCTAACTAGCTAGTCTGTACCCGCTCCTATCAAGCTTTCTTCACATTTCTTAACTGTATCAATAAACCTACTGGATGATTATATCTTTGGTACCAAGCTAGCTAGGCTATCGATCTTTAGCATGGTTGTTTTGTTATCCTAAATCTAATGTCATTCTCAAACGAAATGCATTTCATAAATAACTATAATTCCGAAAACAACGCTACAATGTTAGATCTCTAATTTAAAATTGTTAAAAACGTGCGCTAGTCATTTGTTAACATCCCCGAATCAATAGGTTCTGATGTAAGGTGTTGAAGTCTCATGTCAGATGGACTACGACGAGCTATCGTAATATATATTGGAATCTGCATTCTTCCCTAAGGACTGTTATGTAGAGTGATCTAATGAGATCACTACAAAATAAAGAGGGTTTACTGACGGAGTTTTCCATCGGTACAATTTTTGGAGGATTGACTGGTGGATTAATCCGTTGGTTAATTATTGGTCGGTAATTGAAAATCCCTCGGTAATCACGATCACCAACAACATTTTCTGTGCCGATGAGATCCGCCGGTAATCCACCGCTTATGACTCTTTTTGATGGATTACCGACATATTTTTGTTGTTAAATACTTCAGTTAATTTTAAGGGAAAAGTACAATAAAAACCAATGAACTTTCTTGTTTGGAATGATTAAGTCATTGAACTTTTTTTTGGAACAAATAAGTCCTTGAACTTTCCAAAACATGTTAAATAAGTCATTGGACAATTTTTTGATATAAATAAGTCCTTAGACATTCCAAAAAATGTTAAATAAGTTCTTGGACAATTTTTGGAACAAATAAGTCCTTGAACAATCCAAAACATGTTAAATAACTTTTTTGAACTTTTATAAAACATGTTGGATACATTCTTATGACTTGTACAACTAGTTAAAATGATAATTATTTTTTTGTAAATGTAAGTACTTTTTGTTATATTTGTTTAATTGTATAGATCTAAATACTTTTTGGTTCAAAAAATATTTAAGGGCTTAATCGTTCAAAATATGAATGTTCATTGGGTTTTTTTCCGGATTTTTTTCACTATTTTACCACTTTATTTTTTTCAAAAAATTATTTAACATGTTTTAGATTGTTCAAGGACTTATTTGTTCCAAAAATTGTCCAAGGAGTTATTTAACATTTTTTGGAATGTCCAAGGACTTATTTGTTCCAAAAATTGTCCAAGGACTTATTTAACATTTTTTGGAATGTCCAATGACTTATTTGTTCCAAAAATTGTTCAAGGACTTATTTAACATATTTTGGAATGTTCAAGGACTTATTTAACATGTTTTGGAAAGTCTAAGGACTTATTTGTTCCAAAAAAAAGTTCAAGGACTTAATCATTCCAAATAAGAAAGTTCATTGATTTTTATTTTACTTTTCCCTAATTTTAATTTTCATGTCGTGTCATGTTTTAATCAAACATATTATTTTTGTTGAGGAAAGAAAATTTCAAATCTTGTTATTTCACTTTTCACAAAACAAGTCAACTATATGATACTATAATATTTCAAATGTGAGTTTATGGAATATATTTCTTAGGAGCTGTTGGCAATTGCTAAATGATTTGTTGGAGAATGACTAATTGATCAGAATAATTAAAAAACTCTTATAATATAGTATAAAACAAAATATAATTGTTTGGTGATTGTTCAAAATGAAATAAAGGCGATGAATGCTTAAGGGAGGCCCATGATACAAAATTATTTAGAAAGTTTTAGAACCATTAAGAGACAAAAAAGTTTTTACCAAACAAGATTCACATATTAGTGATTCAAAAACTATCTTTTAATAGAACTACTAGTTGTGTACTCGCGCAATGCGGAGGGAGCCATGAATTTTAACGATTTTGAAGTTCCACTGGTTTTATAAGATAAGATTTAACGATGATATAGGTTACACTTGGTCTTTACATATTAATACAATTTGAATAAATAAGAGTTATGGTTCCAATTACAGACTATCGATGGAAAAAATTGTATAACAGTTTAAAATCCAATATATTTAAAATCCAACATATTTAAACGACTCCACAAATGTATTCGATTTACACCAAGAGCAAAGAACCAAGAAACTTGAGTTTTAAGATAAACACTCAAAACCAATAAAGAAAACTACAAATTTGACAGATCATAAGTCATGAAAAGACAAAAAAAGATGAGTTTTAGAATGAAATTTCAACTGGTTACCCTCTTTCTTGTCCAGAAACTCAGATTAAGGTTGAGTTAGTACATGTATATATATATTTCAAAAAAACCCAAGAACATATTAATTCAAAAACATATTATACAGTGCAGTTTGGACAGCCTAACCCCAAAATATATAGTATATATATAAATAACTAACTATAAAAGTATAAATCGTAAATATTAAAAATATTTTTTCACAATATATATAATATATAATAATATAATTAAGTCAAAAACTATTCAATATTGGACTCATTTTGAAGGTATTAACGAGACGATTATAATTGTGTAACTTGTTAAAATAAAAATATATTTTTTAAACAAGTTTTAATTGATATACGATTATGTATGTTAATTTGATAAAGGTTTAAAATGAAACATTTAAAAGTAAATTACTTAATTAATTATAGGGGTATAAAGTGTAAATTTAAAAATTATAATTTTAAAAATATCGGTTGGGGTGAGTGTATGTGAGGAGGTGAGTGTATGTGCGGAGAGAACGAGGTGAAAAAGTGAGTATAAAAGGTATTTTGGTCATTTAGTATTTTAAGACTTTTGCTAAATTTGTTTAATAAGATAGTATAGATTAAAAGATAAACAAACAACCTTTTAGTATTGTCATAGTGCAAAGAAATAAAAATTGTCATTACTCGTGCATCTCAACTTTTTCTGTTATGATAGTTCGCACTGCAATTCATATATATGCGCTTGTATATATATATATATATATATATATATATATATATATATATATATTATGTGTGTATATGTATATGTGTGTAGGGGATCATTCAAGGGAGAACTGATTAGTTTGTGGTAACTGTGAGATCCAATCTCAACCACAAATCAACGGATAAATTAGAAAATTAATAACTATGATAGTTTGAATTAAAATTATAATTAGAGGGCATTTTATATATTTTTAAAAAACTCCTCTTTTCTCTCTCATCTCTCCGACCTCCAATCTCCGGCCTCCGGTGAACATTAATCCGGCAGGTACCAAGTAATCACAAAGATACATAGTGTGATACTCATTGTGATATATTGTGATACCCATTGTGATATACTGTGATACCATTGGGGTATCACAGTATATCACAATGAGTATTTTTATGATTATTTGGTACTTGCCGGATTAATGTTCATCGGAGAGCGGAGATTGGAGGTCGGAGAAATGAGAGAGGAGAGATAAGTTTTTTAAAAAAAAAACCTAAAATGCCCTCTAATTATATTTTTACTCAAACTACCATAATTATTAATTTCATAATTTATCCGTTGATTTGTGATTGAGATTGGATCTCACAGTTATCACAAACTAATCAGTTCTCATTTGATTAGGCCCCTATGTGTGTGTGTATGTATATATATGTGTTTGTATGTATATATGTATGTACTCTTTGCATATGGGAACGAAAAGAAAATTTAGCAAAATTAACAGTACTGCAAAGGGGACTTTTTACTGACGGCCATTTCCGTTGAAGTGCATCACAAATGGCCATGTCCATCAGGAAATTTGTGGCCGGAATTTTCGACAACCATTTTCGACGGAATTCAAAATATTCCGTGGAAAAACATTGATAACTAGAAAATCC